CCACTGAGCTACAGACCAGACCAATCTTCACTTTTGGGGGGCGGGTACTAAGGATGAACTCAGGACCTTGCACTAGTGAGGCAGACAAGGTGCCACTGAGCTAAATCCCTGGCCCTCCAATCTTCACTTTTGATACTGAACACAAAAAGTACAACTGTAATCGAAGTGGAAAAATGACACATACACCTTAAATATGCAAAACAAAGACACAACTGCACTGGCCCATTGTTTCATTTTGGTTCTATTTGGGACTGCCTCACTCATAAGCTTTGTCTTCACTTGATCTTAGCCAAAAGGCCGAGAAGCGATCATAAGCTTTGTCTTTTGCTCTTTTATGTAAACCTTACACCCTGAGTTTTGCTAATTTATTCTTCTCTTCTCATTTCTTAACCAATATATAAGATTTCTATTTTGTAAAATATGAGGGGGTAGTTCAGTTCATCTTTCTCACTAAAATCACTTTCCAAAGTAAATTATTTGTGACCAACAAAAGGAAAAATGTGTTATTCTGCTATCACCATCTGACATTTTCACCTTAACACCATCAAAAAGGAGTTTAATGTCAAAACTATTAAAAATATCAAGAAAGTCCAAAGCCATTCAAAATGCAAAGTTCATATTTTTTTAAAAACCCAAACAGCATTATTTTTATTTTACACTATTTCAAAAATAAGTTAACAGAATATCTTTTTTCAGTTTTTATTTTTTATTAGTACATAATGATTACATTCATTCTGGTGGGAGTTGGTACACGTACATAAGGCGTTTTAGTTCTTTTTTCACACACACACACAGACACACACCCTTGATCTTCCCATTTGGGAAAGAGCTATCTCCTTATTTTCTATTATTTATTTTTCATTTTGCTCTTTATGTTTTGGGTTTCTCATATAAGAGAAACCATGCAAGGGGCCGGGGATTTAGCTCAGTGGCACCGGGCCTGCCTTGTAAGCGCAAGGTCCTGAGTTCGATCCCCAGTACCAGAGAGAGAGAGAGAGAGAGAGAG